ATAAAATATGCTAACACTAACATAGCTGATGAGCTTTAAGAAAATAGCAAAATTACCTCACAATGTTTAAAGAAAGTTTATGAATTTGTGTTGGGCGACGTTCAAAGCTGTCCGGGGCTGCGTGCAGCCCGTGAGCCGTGGATTGGGCAAGCTTGATCTTAACAAAGAATACTGGGTGTGTCTCTTGAGTCCTTTCAGTTCACCTGGACCTTCCCTCATCTACTCAGATACTGAGAGAAGATTTTTCGAAGCATATGGACAGCTTTTCATCAATGCATTTTCTTTAAACAATGAAACAATCAGGTATTTCTTTGATACATGTGTTCCTTCCACTGTGTTGTAAGTCCAACAGAAAAAAAAAATTCGATTCTTGTTCTTCAAAGAAAGTTTGTTCTTTTTAGGGATACAATATGAACCTCTTTGAGGGATGCAGTGCAGTACCAAAGCGCTACATTTTGTAGCGTAAATAATTAAAATGGTAGCTTTCAGGAGGAAGTCATCTTTGTTATTTGGAACACATAGGAAGTTTTCATGAAAAAAGTAAAGCTTGCGTTTTGATGTTTCTCTGGATTAAGGATGGAGAAATGGTATAGGAACAGACAGGAGAGCATGGGCATCCTGATCATATGCTACGTTAAGAAAAGCATTTATCTAAAGTAATTTGAAAACTCTGAGATCACTGTAATTCAAAATATGTCTTTCAATGCAACCTGTCCTGTTTCTGCTGTCAGTAACGCTTACTTCTGGGATAAATACTGTCTCTAGAAGTCATCATTTAAAATGTCTGTATCTTTTGAAGAGACCAAGAGTGGGTTTTCCTCTGACTGGAATAAAAGGAAGACGTGAAGATAAGATATGATCCATTGTAAAAAAAAAAAAAAGGTATACATGCAGAGGTCATAACAAAGCAGAGACATCAATGTCATGTTTTATTTTGAAATATCCAATGTGAGGCAATCGATAAGTAAATTAGCCTATCATTAGAGTAATTTACCATCTCTAACAATAGTAGGCATTTCATACATATTTTTGACTTTTGAATAAACAAACTAACCCAACTAGCATTAATAAGGTTTTTTATTTTTTTGGTAACTGCTGAGTATTGTCATTAACCCTTTAATAGTACAACTAGCTCATGTCAGAACGTGTATGTGATTTCAGCCGGAGGTTACTGACCAACTTCTAAAACAAAAATCAAATGGAAGTTATTAAATTCAAAACACATTCTTGAAATGTTCTGACTATGGGAATATTAAACCAAAATATGCTAGTTTTGGGTGCTGTGTGAAAAATATTATTCCAAATCAACATTTTCCTAAGTCGATTTCATGAAATGAGGTTTCCGTGGGAAATTACGAGATGATATTTGAGCCGCAAAGGGAGGTTCTGTGGTAAAGTAAATTTGGGAAACACTTATTCAGGTAAACAGGGTTTCTGTTTACTTGTTTTTGCTGCAAGACTACCTAGAACATCTAACATGCTGGCATACATCGTGGTTTCCAAGAGGGGAATTGACAAAGCGATTTTTCCAATCTGTATTTGACCCTGGCAGTAATATTCTATGGAAAGCACTTTAGAACATGTTCTAACATGATCTGAAATTCTAAAAGCTATCCGTATATAAGATATTAATGCTTTTTCAAAGGGAAAACCCCTCAATTTAATATCTATATACATGCAACATTAATTTGATACAGGCTATTTCAAATAAACCCAATGCACTTTTATTTTGAATTCTACATTTGTGGAGCAGAATCAAAGAAAACATATAAGACTCTGAAGTTTTATAACTACAAGTTCACTGGAGAGACCCTTTGTCTTGTGTCTACTTTCAGCTATGTGAGCAGTCACAGTATGAAAATATACCAGCACAAAAGTCTGTTGTATAGGAGAAGTAACCTTTTTTTCCTGCTAAATATTATCTAGGTACTTCTGTCTGCTTCTTTTACTCTTCTTTCCTGCAGGCTATTTAATGTCCTGCAGTGTTTGTTGATAAATTTTTAAAGTACCTGGACCAGCTAACAAAAGATGAGCTACCAGAGACTGGCCTTGTGTTTAATCCGTCTACAGCAATGTTTCGTTCATACAGGGTCTAACTGTGTGTCACTAATTGTGGCTGCCATTAGCCTCCAAGTGTAGGTTCAGCATTAACAACAACGTGATGAATGCATGGCCACTTTATAAACTAGCATTGGCACCTTCTCCTTGAATTTTTTACACTAAATCTGATGCGTTTATGTTCTTTCTGTGTTCAGTGCTTTGTGAATGATCTTGTTAATTTGCTGTATAGTGTGTGATATCCACACTGAAATATCTTAGCATAAAACTTGGCATAGTTATTGGATTTAAGGATGTGGGTATGTAAACAGAATTCAGATATCTCTCTGGTATTTTTCTTCTTTTTTTTTTGTAGAGACATGGTTTCACTATGTTGTCCGAGCTTGTCTCCAACTCCTAGGCTCAAGTGATCCTCCCACCTCAGCCTCCTAAATTGCTGGGATTACAGACATGAGCTACCACGCCCAGTCAATGTTTGATATTTTTCAGAGGCAAAATCTAGAGTCAGCTTTAATCTTTTCTCTCAGTTATGTTTTGTCCTTTGGAAAGTAGGGGTACAGTACAAAACAAAGGGACAGCGATTTCTCACCCCTTCATAGCTATCTATTTGTGTGTATTTTGTTCTACCTTGACATGACAGTCTAGGGAAAGTAATACTATTATGCTGTCTGTGTTTAACATGATCATAAGTTTGCTTTCCAGCACACATACCAAGCAACATCTTTGTTACCTTTCCCTAAATTACAATTTCATACTTATTAAGGTTGTTAGATGTGCTGAAATAACCACAATTGGAAAAGCAACCTGACTGTGATTGATTTTTGTTCTTTCTTTACTATATAGGACTGCCTTTGACTTCAAAGAGTTATCTTAGTTCAGAAAAGAGGCCAGAGCAGGAACCTGTGAAATGATTCATGGGAGAAGATGGAAGTAAATGATGAGTTCATATGCTTCTAGTCTCCAGTAATGGCATAAATCCTTAGGGAAGTTCTTTAATGTCAGCCTGTATGCCTGCCTGTGTCAAATCACATATAGGCTAGCACATATTATGAATTAAGAAATCTGGGGAATGAACAAAAATTCCTTTATACAGTTGTTCATTTTCAAAAGATGTCACATAGACTTGAAGATACAGGAAGAAAGCAAAACACTGCTCTTGTTTAACCATAAAAACTGTATTCGCATTTTATAAACGCAAAGACCATTCACATATGGCTAAGCACCTTTCTGGAACGAGAGAAAACGTGGTTAATTGATTGTGGGCTAAGGCCTATCTGTGACTTCTCAAGTCCACAAATGAGTTTATTCCCAGAATGAAAATTTTAAGGTCTGTTGATTCTTAAAATAATGAGGAAGGCAATGAATATATAGCATGCTTACTACTGTGTCATTTAAATCATTGGATTTTATAACAGCCCTCCTCTCCCTGGGAGAATAAAACTTAACATGTATATGTGCTGTTTCCTTTGCATTATATGATACAAGTTGAAGAATATTCTCTCAGGGAGCTAATATCACAAGTTGAAAAACACTTCCTTCTTTGCTTCGCCATTCTTAACGGAAGTCACCTAGGAGCACCAAACATGCTAACATATTCAGCTGGGCACCGCCAAACCATTAAGCAGGCCACAAACCGAGGAAAGAAAATCATCAGAGACAAGAACTAACTGTAACACACTGAAAAGAAGACAGCCCAAGAACACAGGACTTCCTCTTTGATAAGTGATGGAGAAGCCACATTCTAACAACAGGTCTCATTGTCAGAAACACTGTTATCAGATGCAGAAGTGCAGAGATCTGGACAAGGTGTACCTTCCTTTCCTTGTTCCGCTGGTGCTTTCTTGAGCCCTCCACTCTCTGCCACCCAGTGTCCAGAATGCTGCAGGTTACCTATAACCCTTCTGAAATTGCTGTGTTTTCTGATGGAAACCCTAAGAGTACTGCCCTTCAACAGGAAACTGGGTGGCGATCCACCTGTATGATAAGTCATCACCAATTCCTGTTCTTTCTCTGCTGAAGCCAATGTAATACTAAGGAAATCCGAATTTCTAAACATCTGTCTCATCAACTCCTTTTTTTTTTTTTTTTGAGACAGAGTATTGCTCTGTCGCCCAGGCTGGAGTGCAATGGCCCGATCTCGGCTCACTGCAACCTCTGCCTCCCGGGTTCAAGCAGTTCTTCCACCACAGTCTCCCAAGTAGCTTGGATTACAGGCACCCACCATCACACCCAGCTAAGTTTTGTATTTTTATAGAGATAGGGTTTCACCATATTGGCCAGGCTGGTCTTGAACTCCTGACCTCAGGTGATCTGCCCGCCTCGACCTTCCAAAGTGCTGGGATTACAGGTGTGAGCCACCGCGCCTGGCCTCATCAACTCCTTCTATTAGAAAGAAGGTTTTGTTACCTCTTTGAGCATTTGTTTTAAAAGTGTGCTAGGTTTGGCATCTAGGGATGGTCATTTGTATTATGTCTAGTATATCTATCTTCAGAGAGAATTATTTATATAATGGAGAATGGTAGAAAGAAACAAATCTCAAATTTGTGTGGCAAGCTATTCAATATAAATCAACTTGGGGGGGAATTCTATACAAAGGAATAAAGGCAGCTCTTACCTAAAAGACAATAAAAAACTTTTCTTTAAAAAAAAAAAAAAAAAGCAAGGCCAGGAGTCGTGACTCACGCCTGCAGTCCCAGCACTTTGGGAGGCTAAGGCAGGTGGATCACTTGAGGTCAGGAGTTCGAGACCAGCCTGGCCAATGTGGTGAAACCCCATCTCTACTAAAAATATAAAAACTAGCTGGGTGTGGTGGTGCCCGCCTGTAGTCCCAGCTACTCAGGAGGGCTCAAGAGGGTCGTAGACGCATCCTGCCCAGGTCTTCAGTGCACATTAACATCCCTTCTCTTTTCCCCTTCTTAATGATCATTTCTTCTGTCCTTCAGGGAAAACACAGATTGCATGTAGACACTGGAATGGAGGGTAATTGGTGCGGCCTTATTCCTGTTGGACAGCCTTGTACACAGGTTACAACCACAGGCCTCAAGTGGAACCTCAGTAAGTAGAACCTTTCCATAAAGGAATGATGTTTTTTTCTTTTTTTCTCTGTTTCTTTTTTTTTTTTTTAATGTCTCTGTGGTCTATACCTAGGAGGAATTGCTGGGTCTTCTGATAACTCTATGTTTAACCTATTGAGGAACTGCCAGATTACCTTCCAGTGTGCCCGAACCATTTTACTATGTGCCGTGTAAGAGTGTTCCAGTTTCTCCACATTCTCAACACTTGGAATTATCTGTTTGCTGGTTTATAGCCATCCTAGAGCATGTGAAGGTGGCATCTCACTGGGGTTTTGATTTTCATTTCTCTGATGACTACTTATGTCAAGCATCTTTTCTTGTGCTTATGGAACATTCGTATATCTTCATTGGAGACATGTCTATTCAGCTCTTTTACCCATATTTTAATTGGCTATTTTTACATTGAGTTGTAAGAGTCCTTTATGTACTGTAGATACAAGTCCTTTACCCAAGTGTGTGACTTGCAAAAATGTTTGTTAGCCCTTAGCATATATTTTCATTTTCTGAAATTTAATTAACTAAATTAACAAATGTTAATGAAGTCTATGTTTTTTCTTTTGTGGATCGTACTTTTGGTGTCATATCAAAGAACTCTTTGCCCCACCTTCTTCACGATTTTGTGCATTTGAAAATCCTACTTTCCTTTCCTAGAGAAGCAGCAAGTTCTTTTCGTAGTCAAATCTCTGACATAAGATTTGCTGCTCTTATTAAATTTTAAAATGTTTTCCAGTAATTGTGAACTATATTAGGTCCTAGTAGTACTAAAACCAAGTTAAAAATATTAAAAAGTAAGGGGGTCCTGTTCATGAGATAAATACTGATTCCGAAAGGAACCATCAGTCGTTGTGAAATGAATCAACTCTAGTCTTTCTAAGAATAGCAGTAATTTAATCAAAGAGCTCTGACTGAATGTCAAAGGGATCATCTCCTGATTGACCAATATGGCAAAGTTGTACAAGTAAAATATGGAACTATGTCATTCTTTTCTAACAAGTAGAGCACTTAGATTCCCACAAGAAAATAAATTTTTTTCCAAGAAATAAATATTTTGAAACACAAAGACTTGTAAAAAGACCTTTCTATGAGCCACTGCTGAAACAATTAGGAAAAACTAGAGATATTTTGAAACAAATGTCTAGAGAGCTCATCAGAATTTGAAAGGACTGCGAGAACACATCTCCTCCAGTGCACAGAAATATGTGACAAGCTTTGAAGCTGTTTAGCTGAAACTGACATGAGCTCCCATTGGAAGCTTTTTTGAAAACGTTCTGGTCCCAAACAACTGTTTTATTTTTTATAGTTCTCATTATTTCCAAGGGCACCCAATCTAGGCCGTGGTGAACTTCCTGCTGGATCTAGGAGCAATCACACTTTTCAGGGCTGGCACCATGACAAAGGAGCACTGAGCAAACAGGAACGTTGGCACTAGGAGCAGGTGCCCCAGCTTCCTTTATCTTATAGTAATAAAAAAGAGTCATACATTAGACATGATTCTTCTGGGATCTTTAGAATGTTCTTTGATCCTGTACTTCCCACAGCAATATGCACATTGTGTTAGTCCATTCTCACATTGCTGTTAAGAACTACCTGAGACTGGGTAATTTATAAAGAAAAGAGGTTTAACTGACTCACAGTTATGCAGGCTTACCGGGAAGCAAGACCAGGAGGCCTCAGGAAACTTACAATCATGGTGGAAGGTGAAAGGGAAGTAGGCCCCTTCTTCACATGGCAGCAAGAGAGAATGAGAGCGATGAGGGACGTGCCACAGACTTTTAAACCATCAAATCTCACGAGAAATCATTCACTACCACGAGAACAGCAAGGGGGAAGCCCACTCCCATGATTCAGTCACCTCCCACCAGGTTCCTCCACCAACATTGGGAATTACAGTTCACCATGAGATTTGGGTGGGTACCTGCAGTCAAATCATACCACACATCCTCTTTCTTTCTCTGGTAAGGGGGCCTTTAGCATGATGAGGGCAGGGCTCTTAACCTTCCTGAGATGACTTTTGATCCAACTGCATGTAATACGCCATTACTTATTTATATAGTTACACAACACTTTGACTTTTGAAGTAATTATTTATTCTATAGCTTCATAAAAATTAAAAAAAAACTTCATGGAATATGCAAAGCAATACAGTTGAAACACAAAGTGTTTCATCAATTACCTGTTGTAAAAGCACTAATTCATGGGGTCTTCTGATAGGTAATATTGCCTCATTAAAAGTTAATAAAAATAAATGTGACATCATGTTGACTTGAAGAAAAGCAGGTAGATTTCATTCACAGAGAGGGTCCCTGCCTTCCTCAGCGCTGTTGTCTGTGACAGCAGAGCCCTGAGGTCAGGGTTATTTTATCAGTCATGGCTGCAAAGGGACAGGGTGAAGGCGGGCTTGCAGAAAGAGAAGGAGTATGCAGATGTTTAGTCGGGAGCAGCTCACTTCTTGAGTTAATGGGAGTAAGCAAGTTTTTGTGAAGAAACTTGTCAAGGCCCTCAGGTGTGGCCCCGCGGCTTGATCTCTACCTGTCTCCACCCACTCTAAGTACGTGATGCCAGAAGTTCTGAAAGTAGTTGGATTTATCTGTTACCAGGTTGCAATATTTCACATGCCATTCTAACATTAAAAAAAATTGTATGAATGATACCTAGGTACTGATCACCGAGGAGTGAACCTTTTCAAATATTATTACTGAAGCTGCCTATATTTACAGTCTTTTATTTCATAGCAATATGCTATGAATATTCTTTGACTTGTGTCTTGCATAAGAGTTTCTCTGGGATATATACAGTTGGGAGTGAAACAGCTGTATCATAGATAATCACATCTTCACCTTTATGAGATACACATATTGCTCTGCACAGTGGCTGTACCAGTGTGCACTCAGCCCAGGAATACATAGAAACTCCCCTGCTCCTTATCCTCAACAATTCTTGCTATTATCAAACGTAATCATTTTTGCCAGCCTGATGAGTGTCAATGATATGTTTTTGTGGTGTCTGCTGATAAGGCTAAGCATCTTTCTGTAGTTATGATTCATGCTGGTTTCTTCTTCTGTGAATGGCTACTTTCTTTTGCCTATTTTTCCATTGGGATGTTAATTCGTAGAAGTTCTAAAGACTTTTTCCTGGCTGTACTTTGACTTTTCAGTTTGTTCATGGTGTTTTTATATAAACAGAGTTTATCGAGTTAAATGTAGTCAAAATTTACCAGATTTGTCATTTTCGTGTAAGTCACCTTTCTATTCCCCATGGTCATAAAGATACTCTCATTTAAGTTTTAAGTTTCGTGTTTAGGTCTTTTCTTTCACCTGAAATTGATTTTTGTATATGATATGAGATAAGGATCTAGTTTTTTTAAAGATAATGAATTGCGCTCACATCATTTATTAATCCTTTCGCCAGTGATTTGCAGTGTATGTAGCACAGATGTTCATATGTATGGGTATGTTTCTTAGATCTGTTTTGTTCCTTTGGCTTACATACTTCTTCCTGTGCTGGAGCCACGCTGCCTTCATTACCATAGCTTTATAATAAATATTGAAATGTGCTAAGTTGAGTCCTCAGACCTTGTTCTTCAAAATTGTCACTCTATTCCTGGCTTTTTGCTCTTTTTTGTTTGTTTTTGACACAGAGTCTCACACTGTCACCTGGGCTGGAGTGCAATGGCACAATTTCGGCTCACTGCAACCTCCGCCTCCTGGGTTCAAGCAGTTATCCTGCCTCGGCCTCCTGAGTAACTGGGATTACAGACACCTGCCACTACACCCAGCTAATTTTTTTTTTTTTTTTCATTCTTAGTAGAGACAGGGTTTCAGCAGGTTGGCCAGGCTTGTCTGGAACTACTGACCTTGTGATTCACCCACCTTTTCCTCCCAAAGTGCTGGGATTACAGGCGTGAGTCACCACACCCAGCCTGCTTTTCTTTATAAATTTTAGAAGTAACTTGACAAGTGCCTCTCTGACACAATTCTATTATAATTTTTACTGCAATTACATTTCATGTCTAGATTAATTTGGGAAGAATCGAAAAATTGGGGAAGAAAATTTCTACATGAAATTGAGTCTTCCCATCCACAAATTTAGTTTAGCTCTCTATTTACTTAGAACTTTTAAATTCCTTTCAATAATTTTATAATTTTCTCTACAAATATCCTATGCATTTTTATAAGGTTTATTTCTATAAATGCTATATTTCGTGTCCCTAGTACAGATTATACTTTTAATAAATTACATTTTCTGTTTGTTGGTGATATATAGATGCATAATTCATTTTCATCTCTTTTCATATTAATATATTGATGAACATTTATTATATCTGAAAATGTGACTATAGAGTCACTTGGTTTTCTATACACAATCGTATTTCTATTAATAATCAAGTTTTCTTCCACAGTCTGTAACAAATAGAATTAAGTTCTTATAATGGACTGAAATGGTGGCTTAAAAAAAAAAAAAGCCTTTTTGTTGGTTTCCTTATGTAACAAAGTGCAGAGATAAGTACCTATAGGGCAAGGGTTCTATTATTTCCTCAGCCTTTGCCTTAAAATCTGAGATGTCTGTTGCAACTCCAGCTGTACTCTGCCTAGTACGCATCAGAAGAGAGGAAAGGGAAGGGAGCAGGAAGGGTCTGTAACAGGAAGCACAGGCATCAGAGACATCAGAGATTCCTGGCATTCTCAGAAACCCTTCCTGTGTCTCATCTTTTGCCTCAGTGGCCAGAACGGTAAAAAATAGTCACCCTAGCTTCAAAGGAGGCTACATGTGCAATTTTTTATCCAACTACATTGTCACTCCAAATAAAACTGAGGTTCCATCAGTAAAGAAGAAGAGAATGACTAGGGGTCTGCTCTTCTGTCAAAAAATGCCTTTGCTTCATTCATCATCTTGAACATTTTATCTATGTATATCACAAAAAATTTATTTTAGTTTTCTTTCAGCCATATTCATATGGATTGCTGTTGTTTCTGTTGAAAA